GCAGTTACAGTTTTTGGCAGTGTTGGGGGATCCTTACTTCCAATGCATACAATGCAGTTACAGTTTTTGGCAGTGTTGGGGATCCTTACTTCCAGTGCATACAAAGCAGTTACAGTTTTTGGCAGTGTTGGGGGATCCTTACTTCCAATGCATACAATGCAGTTACAGTTTTTGGCAGTGTTGGGGATCCTTACTTCCAGTGCATACAAAGCAGTTACAGTTTTTGGCAGTGTTGGGGGATCCTTACTTCCAATGCATACAATGCAGTTACAGTTTTTGGCAGTGTTGGGGATCCTTACTTCCAGTGCATACAAAGCAGTTACAGTTTTTGGCATTGTTGGGGGTTCCTTACTTCCAATGCATACAATGCAGTTACAGTTTTTTGCAGTGTTGAGGGATCCTTATGATGATTTTCACTTTTACCTAGGTCAAAACTAAAGTGGTGTTGTATGTTCATTGATCTACTATTTCAGTAGCCGTATAACTATAGCTTCTGGGCCCAATTTAAAAAAAAAAAAAAATGTTAAGACAAAATCGGGCCTAGAAGCTAAGGTTTCCGCAGCTACTATTTCAGTTATCATTTAAAGTTATGTTCCAAACAAGCTGTTTACTTTGACATTGACCTTTAATTTGACCTGCATCAATGGATGCTTGGACACAATCCACACAACTTGGCTTCAAAATATCAATACACATTTTTGTGCTGCTTGTAAGAAGACATGAACTCTGACCTTTATGAGCCTGAACTTTGACCATGACACATTGGCTATACACAAACGGGCAAGCCAGCATCAATCACAACATTTGTTTTACTTCCCTGTGAAAATACATTATTTACCATTGAAAGAACCATAAACATATAATTGACATTTACAATCTTCACTATTGACCTTGACCTTGCTGCAAGTGACACCTGGTGTAAATCCTTACAATATTGATTAAAATTTAGCAACAAAATGATTACCATGAAGATATATTACATTTAAATGTGTGACTTTATATTAAGGAAAAAAGCAAATTATTATTATATTATTATATACATGTAAGCATTTCTCCCAACACCATTGCATTATATTAGTGTGTTATGTTTATCCTTAAAATTGAAGATATAAAATTTGCCTTTCATGAACTTTCACCATATGACTTTGACCTCGAACCTGGAACTTGATAAAGTAACAACTTTATTACTTAATGATGTCATTCAATGTTTATAGTTATCAGAACTTATCACCCTGACCTTTAAGCAGCCTTGACATAATTGTATGGAGCAGTACAGGCCTTAAATCCAAATATTATTGCTTTCATAATCTTGCATATATACATCACCATTTATAGGACAAGCAAGTTGACATCTGCGACCTTGACCTTTGACTATCATCAAAATACATGACTAGGACCACCCTCAAAACTGAAGAGTTTACACTTACTTTCACTCTCTGCGCCCCAGGAATATATACCGGTACTAGTAAAATCAAAGTCTCAAAGACTGGTTTATGAATGGTTGGGATGACTGACATACAGAAAGACCCCTGCCGCCTTCACAAGGAGAAGGACTGACATATAGAAAGACCCCCGTCCCCCTCACAAGGGGAATGACTGACATACAAAAAGACCCCTGCCCCCGCACAAGGGGAAGGACTGACATCCAGAAAGACCCCCGCCCCCCTCACAAGGAGAAGGACTGACATACAGAAAGACCCCTGCCCCCTCACAAGGAGAAGGACTGATATACAGAAAGACCCCTGCCCCCTCACAAGGAGAAGGACTTATATACAGAAAGACCCCTCCCCCCTCACAAGGAGAACGACTGACATATAGAAAGACCCCTGCCGCCTTCACAAGGAGAAGACCTGACATACAGAAAGGCCCCTGCCCCCCTCACAAGGGGAAGGACTGATGTACAGAAAGACCCCTGCCCCCCTCACAAGGGGAAGGACTGTTATATTGAAAGACCCCTGCCCCCTTACAAGGGGAAGGACTGATATACAGAAAGACCCCCGCCCCCCTCACATGGGGAAGGACCGTTATACAGAAAGACCCCCGCCCCCCTCACAAGGGGAAGGACTGTTATACAGAAAGACCCCTGCCCCCTCACAAGGGGAAGGACTGATATACAGAAAGACCCCCGCCCCCCTCACAAGGGGAAGGACTGACATATAGAAAGACCCCTGCCCCCTTCACAAGGAGAAGGACTGACATACAGAAAGACCCCTGCCCCCTCACAAGGAGAAGGACTGACATACAGAAAGACCCCTGCCCCCTCACAAGGGGAAGGACTGACATACAGAAAGACCCCTGCACCCCTCACAAGGGGAAGAACTGACATATAGAAAGACCCCTGCCCCCTTCACAAGGAGAAGGACTGACATACAGAAAGACCCCTGCCCCCTCACAAGGAGAAGGACTGATATACAGAAAGACCCCTGCCCCCTCACAAGGGGAAGGACTGACATACAGAAAGACCCCCGCCCCCTCACAAGGAGAAGGACTGACATATAGAAAGACCCCTGCCCCCCTCACAAGGGGAAGGATTGACATACAGAAAGACCCCTGCCCCCTCACAAGGGGAAGGACTGATGTACAGAAAGACCCCTGCCCCTCTCACAAGGGGAAGGACTGTTATATTGAAAGACCCCTGCCCCCTCACAAGGGGAAGGACTGATATACAGAAAGACCCCCGCCCCCCTCACATGGGGAAGGACCGTTATACAGAAAGACCCGCGCCCCCCTCACAAGGGGAAGGACTGTTATACAGAAAGACTCCTGCCCCCTCACAAGGGGAAGGACTGATATACAGAAAGACCCCCGCCCCCCTCACAAGGGGAAGGACTGATATACAGAAAGACCCCTGCCCCCCTCACAAGGGGAAGGACTGTTATACAGAAAGACCCCTGCCCCCTCACAAGGGGAAGGGGAACTGATGGGGGGGGGGTTCACAGTCTCTGTTTACACAAAATTGATTCAACTTGGTAGAAAGATGACCAAGATTTATTTTAGTACAAATTCATTCCGTCGTTTTTCAATTAATTATCAAAACTCTAGCTCAAATGTCAAGCATGTTCTTCTTCTAAAGATAATATCTTTTTAAGGGAAATGCAGACAGACAAAGGACACACTGCACCATAGCATCAGTCTACATGCTTTGTCCTAATTTAGGGCCAGGTATATCAAAACATGCGTATTTAAGTTATCATTACCTTTGTTGGCCTATTTTGGAATTGTTGAGATCTGGGATTTCCACATCTAAAAGATAAAAGGCTATCCTTATCCTTTATTGTGCTGAAACAGAAAGATGAATATTGATTATACACACAGGTTGATAGCATACATGTAGATTAAGATGCAAAGTTCTGCATTCTATTGCTTTTTCATTTTTAATTTGTGAAATATACAATATAGAGAATTATTTCCATCACACTGCATATTTGCCTATCTTGGACTTACAAACAACCCAAACAGCTTCTAGGCAGCCTTTGGCACGAAAACTAACACTTAGGCCTCGAGTTAGAGACTGGTAATTCTAAGCGTGGACTAGTGGATCACCTATTAATCTAACTGGTCCTTTGGACATGTAAAACATATTTTTTAAGAATACTTTGGTATCATTTAATAGGTTAGATTATAAGATAAGACTAATCCTTGGCATTGAACACGTTACCTAGTGGTCCAGACCGCGTGACGACTTAACCACCAGGCAACAACGTCCCCTTATAAAGTTTATTGACATCCTTTAATGGACGACGCAGACCATACCTAAAGCGGCTATTTCACCAAGGATTGTTTGGGTCCCGATAGTACCTGATCTTTTACTTGGTCGATCGGCAGTTTTTCGGAAAATAGTCGGGAACCTGCGAGCACTGTCGAGCACTACCCGATACCTTCTGGAAGATCTGGCGCGATCGCCTCAGTCCTCCGAGGGTTGGGTACCAAAAAAGTGTTCGGCTACTGTTTTTAAACATGTTGAAAAACAGCAGCCAATCAAAACTGTCGGCCCTTGGTCTTCCGAGGGTCCCCTGAAGGTCCCCTTGTCTCGCCTGCCCTCTGGAGCTTTCGTATAGCCTCTGCCACTCTCTAGTGGGTCATGCATATTTGCTAGTGTGAACAAAGTTGTAGAGCTACACCACTGCTTGTTGGTCCATGACCTTCCCTGGCTGGTCAGAAAGTGATGAAAGGCTTCGATCTAGTTCGATTTAAATAGTCCGTCCACAAAAACATTGATCTCCGGCAGATCTAGGTAAATTTGGTCGATTGAAGATTGTCCGAAGATTGTTTCAATCATCCGAAGACCGTTTACTTTCGGCTTCCTGCTTCAACATACGCCTACATTCGGCCATGTATCTGCAGGTACTTGTGCGTACTTTCGCCCCGAAAACGTGTCGATTGCGCGAGGAACGTCCATGATTCGTATGCTGATCGGGCCGATTGGAAAAAACAATCCTTGGTGAAATGGCCCCTTTACTGATCTAGTTTTCATGGCCACTTAAAAATAATATTTCAATAAATATAATCCATGTTACAGTAAATCTAGGTCAAGGTCATTTATTTATAAACTTGACTCAAGGTCTCATAGGTCTGTAGAAATCATTTAAAACAAAAAACATGCTGACCCCCTTTTGGTGGGTTAATATGAACTGAAGTACAATATACATTTTTTTAGTCAAATCTGACCTGTAACTTTAATCCCAGAAATCTATATAGCTGTTTTACTCAAACTCTTTTTGTCATCACCAAGAGATTTTATGGTTCCTGAAGAATTTCAAAAGCGTCGACTCATTTATCATTACAAATAAATCACAGGCAGTTTGTGTTGTGCTATTTGCCCTGGCCCCCTCAAAACTGAAATTATCCCCTCCTTTTTTTCAGTTTCTATCAATTTTACATACAACGGCTCCTCTTATTTGTTTTATATTGATTACAATTTCCTGAAAATTGCCGATGGTTCCTATAGTTTCCTTGATTTTTCTGCTGTGGTACAACACCTTTACTTACCATTTGTTTTTCTGCAGTTCATCAACTAACAAGCTTAGCAGCCTATCTGTAAGACAAGAAATCAGTATCAAATGAATTTTATTACTTCGTGAAATAAAATGAACTTTGGTAAGTTGTGATATCTGGAACCAAAATGGTGTACGTACCATAGTGTAAAACACAGAATCATATCCGGTTATAAGCCCACCCCCCACTTTTGAAATGTTTTGAAGCACAGGCCCCTTTGGCTAATTATCACCAGTAAAATATGATATACTCGCAAAATTCCCATGAAAAAAACAGCTAACAAGTGGTTGTGTTTCTGAAGGAAATGGAGATTGTGTCTGCGGATGGACACTTTGTCTGTGACCTTTGCCCCTTTAACCTTGACTTATGACCTCCAAAATCTAACCAGGTGTGTACAATTTAATGTTGCAATTAGACTACTTACATATCATCACTATCCTGTTACTATAAACTAAATTTATTGAGGGGTTTGTGAGATATCTTGTACAAACATTTTTCTTCAAAACAGGTCAATTGTGAATTGTGACAGTGACGCTTTAACTAGGGGCGTCACAATATGCCAAGAGTGTATCATGATTTATTACACTTTTGCCAGTGAAATATCGGATTCTATCAACTTGATAAGATATCTTTCACACTGTGAAAAATATAAAAAGTGATATTTTCACAGTGTGAAAATATCACTTTTTGATATTGACCAATCATAACGGTATCTTTTATTCGATGCATTCAAAGGCAACGATGTTTTGTTCAGATTCAAATGAAGCGACAGTAAAATAAGTGGTTGTTATGGTAAAAGTTTGGTAACCACATTTAAGTATTTATATAAATATACAATTAATAACATTTTTATAAACACTAATACCAGAAAACAGCAGAAAACGTCGGAATTGAGTTGAGTATCCCATTCAAAATGGTGCGCAGCCTTGTTGTCTAGTGTTACGTCATTAGGAAATGGCGCTTATTATTATGCTCCTGATTCCCGCCCTTTTTAATGCATTACATTTTTCATGTTTTATGCTTTAAANACATTTCTCATGTTTTATGCTTTAAAAATGTAATAAATAGAAAATGTAATGGTGTTTTCAGTAATAACAAATATATTTCACTGGTGTGGCCACACTCGTGAAATATTTTTGTTATTACTGACAACACCATTAAATATCCTCTATATATTGCAATACAGAATGAATATATTGCATTAAGTATCCCGATATATTGTCATAATAAAGATGTGCTAAATTTTATAAAAAGCTGTTGTCAGAATGTTATCAAACTTAGTCATATACAATATGGATTAAATAGTTTTAAGATTTTTGTCAAACCAACCATCGATTACAAAATATGAACTATTAAAAGCCTGCATTATGATTATTGGCATATCTGTTAGAATTTGAAGTAATTTGCAAAGAACTTAGAAGATACATAAAAATATGCTTTTGAAAAAACATTGTTATACAGCAATATTTCATCTCAGTATTGTACCTGGTACAATATGATATACCCGTGTATTGTACATGGTACAATACGATATACCTGTGTATTGTACATGGTATGATACAATATACCTGTGTATTGTACATCAGGTATAATATGATATACCCGTGTATTGTACATGGTACAATACAATAAACCAGTGTATTGTTCATGGCACAACCAGGCTGGGATCCAAACCTGGGACCTTTACACTAGATGAATGCTCTAACAATTGACCCAGTCCAGTTCCACTACATTCTTACCAACTTTTCTCTACGTCCCAAAGTCATGTGAAGCAGCTTACAGTGATTGCTGCTGCGTGGAACGACTGCTCCAAATAATGACTGATATAAATACTGTATATGTAGCAGACCAGGAAAACTGCACAGCCAGACTGGGATTCGAACTGGGGGCCTCTGGACTCTAGATGGACGCTCACACAAATTGATCTACCCACAGGTACTAGCCTCGTCTGTCACCACAACCACTTTTATTGATGTATTGACAGACGAGGCTAGTACCTGTGATCTACCTAGTAGGTGGCAATCCAGACGGACACAGCTATAGTCCAGTTCCGCTACATTCCTCCCTCCTTTTCTCTACATCTACTACAGTATATCCCAAATACAACATGTTTTAAAACCCAGGTATGAGTATTCCTAGGCCTTTAACAAATGTACAACTAGTACTTGAAAAAAAGGCTGGTTACAGGCCCAATGTTCATGTAACAGGAGAGATAAGATGCACATCCAGACTTGGAATCAAACCCAGGACCTCCATTTTCTTAACAGACATTCTAACTAATTGAGGTACCTGGTTGACAGTTAACGACCCAGTTATACCACGGGTACTAGCCTTGTCTGTCAAAAACCCCATATATGTATGTAAACAAATTATTGATGTATTGACAGACGAGGCTAGTAACCTGTGGTTATACAATTAATTGGGTTGATATCAAGTATTCAAAGTTCTAATTTTACACAAACTCGGATTTGTACGTTTTAAACGTGTCACAACGTTTCAAGACCGACTGGTCCCTTTGTCAAGCTAAAGATCTAAAGATGAATATCTAATTGAATTACATGGGTTGCAGTTTTTACACGTCAATATAAATCTTTAACATGTCTAACATTACTCTGTGCACACCAAGATAGGTTCAAACACACCTGTAACAAATTATGTAATCTGGAATGTTCCCGTAATCCGGAATGGAAAGGGAAAATATAAGACAATATCCGCCCAAATGCCATCCACACTCCACAGGTACTAGACTCGTTTTTTCAATACACCCATATTATTATATTATGGGTGTATATATTGACCAAAGGTGTTTGAAATTCTGACTGTAAATTGAGATACATATCCAAGTTAAAACAAGTGATCTGTGGGTATTGATGAATCAATGTGTCCCCTACCTTCGCCCCCAACAGACTAAGCAACATTATATGCTAGACCCCTAAAGAACCTCTGTACATAAAACCAGCATCCTAACACTATCAAAGTATCATTAACAGGTCGGGGAAAACCACTAACTTGCGTATAATACGCAAACTCGCCTATCATACGCCAATAGGGGTATGGATTTGTTACTAAAAATAACCAAAATCACTTTAATTTGAACTTTTTCCAATTGTTTGTCCAAGTCGCATTTATTCAGTCATGAAACATAATACAAATGCAAAAATAAACTTTATTTGCACATGGGAAAGTACCAAAAATAGATGCAATACTTCCGGTAAAGTTACATAAAGTTTTTAAGTAGCCATGGCAACGCTTTCAGTAAACATCTTTTAGCAAAATATTATTTACCTTGACGTAAATTTATGGGATTTTTAATAATATCTTGCAAAAGATACTGTTAAAGCGATTTGGGATATTTTCAGTAACAAATCCATACTCCAACTTGCGTATAATAGGCGAGTTTGTGTATTATACGAAAGTTGGTGGTTTTCCCCAACCTGATTAAGTGAACGGTGATCGAACCATTACAAAACTTTAACCTGCAGATTTTGGCCAAGATAGTTAAGTCCAAAACATGCCAAAAATTCAAAACAAATAAAATAATTTCCATTTTCAATACACAGTGCTGACCTCTTAATAACCTCTATGCATATAATTAGCACCTGAACATCATTATTAAGCAAATGGTAAGCCATTACGGACAGACGAACGCAGACAATTTAACCTATAGTCCCCCCGGTTTCACCCATAGGGGACTAAATATAAGGGTATACTATTTACAGTCAGAATTTCAAACACCTAAATTGTAAATATTGACAGACGATCAGGCTAGTGTTCCATCTGTCCTAAGCAGCTAATAACCCTGGAATATCTTACCTTCTTTCATACATTCCTCAACCATTTCTGAACACTTTTTGTATTTTTCATAATCTTCTGTTTCCATTTTTCGTCAATTCCCGAGTAGGTAGCTTTGTTATATCCTATAAGTTAAGTTTACTTTGAAAAACCGGCTCATGTGCAGCTTACTTTGGTTATATAACAACTCTGACAACTGTCAGACACTGTCTCGACAACACATCAACTTGCTCGACTGTCTTACCCTAATGACGCTACGTTATCACAATATTTGTATAAAAAGTTTTTTTGACTGTTTCCCTCTCATGTCAGTAAGTTGAAGGTGCAATGATCAGTGTTGTCCTAAACCCGAACTCGTGGATGCACCGTCGAATTCTATTGTCAAAAGAGCTACATGGAAGGGAGGTAACTCCGAATGACATTCCCGTGAACAAATAGTCAATAGGCCTACTTTCTATGTATAGTCCTTGTGTTCCTAGAAAGTAGGCCTATTGGCTATTTGTTCAAGGGAATGTCACACCCCAGCATTAATTAAATATTCATGCTAATACCAATTAAATATAGCATTTTTTAAACCCATGAAACCACTTCTGGACGCATGTCATGATGCTCAAATAAAGTAAGATACACTGTACCAATTTTGGCCTTTTTTAAGGGTCCCTTCGAATTCTCAAAGTGTATTTTTTTTATTTTCTTAGTAAAATGTCCCAAATGAAACAAAAATCAATATACAATGTATATGTAACTATAATTTCGGTTATTTTTATTCATTTCAATTTCTTAAAACTGTGATGTTCATTGTCCTTCTTGGAAATGTTTTTGGGAAAAACCACTTCTTTAACTTTTTTGATTGTCAAAACTGCAACAAAAGTGAGTTGTGGCTACTACGGAACACAGACCATACAGGTACAAAAGTCTTTATCATAATTCGCACACCCATTTAATTAATGCTGGGGTGTGATATCAATTAGTGAATCTGAAAATTGTATTATATCAACTTCCTATAGGTTTTTATTACAGTGTTGTAGTAGAAATGATTTCAACTGGGCTATAGCAGTAAGAGATGAATTAAATAATCTAGGTCTTAGTGATGTTTGGTTAAATCCATGTATCTCTCAGCAAAATTTGGTATTACCATTGATAAAACAAAGAATTTTTGATCAAGGCATACAATTCCTATAGGCCACAGTGGAAAACTCTCCAAAATGTTTTTTGTATAAACATATAATAGATTTTGGAGAAACAATTTTACCTCACAAAATATATACCAAAGAAATATCGCATTTGTTTAACTCAAATACGCCATCTACCCATTCTTTAGCTATAGAAGTTGGAAACCTAGAGAACGTAGATATCGTAAACGGTGTAACTCCCCCTCTGAATTAGAGGACGAATTTCATTTTTTATTGGGTCTGTTCTAAATTCCAAAATCTCAGATCTCGTTTTATCAAAAGCTATTATTGGAAAAAAACATCTGTGTTTAGAGTCGTCCAGTTATTGAGTGCCCATAATATTAAAGAATTGTGTATACTAGGTAAATTAATATATGAGGCAAACTNTCTTGAAAACTAGTGTCAACTGTAAACAACACCCAAGTTTAAACATGTTGGAGGGGAAGGGGGTGATGGCTTTGGCAGTGTAATACACAACTGGAATCACCAGTCTAAACATACTTAATTCAGGTAAGCTTGTTACGATTTCATAAACCATAAAATCTTGATGTACACATTAGGCCCTAAGGTTAAAGTGCGCACACAAACCAGAGCTTGGGGATGCCAGTATATAAATATTATTATTATTTTTAAGTTAAGGGCAGGGGGTGTCACGTGCGCTGGTGACACCCCGATCCGCCTCGGTATACTTTCAAGTATACTTCATTGCCAGGTCTGAAATTAATTAATCATAATGTGTGCATACTAAGTAAATTGTATAATAACCATTTTTTTCTGATACTTGGGATTTATACTGGCCTGTGATACCATTTTATAACTGAATACCCTTATTTCAAATTAAATTAGTGTGCAACTCTTTTACCACCTTTAACACATGTGTTTACCTTTCACTAGTATACAGTTATAAATGTCTACTCAAAATGCTTCCAAACACAACCGGAAGTGGAGTGGATTGCATTCAGAAGCACCTTTATTAAGAATTAGGCGACTCTACGCTTACAACGGTGTCAACTACAGTGGACCAATGAACCATTACATATAAGGTTCATTTATTTTACATCAATGATGAAAAAAGTTATTTTAACTTATATTAATTACTCTTGTTGGTCCCGGACGTTAGCGCGCGGTGTCTTATATTGTGGCTGGAAACCGGAGTACCCGGAGAAAACCCACACCTTGTCACGTCCGATCGGGGAACCGAACCCCGGCCGCCTTTGTGAAGGGCAAGTGCGCTATCAATTGCACAAATGAACCAATAACAAGCAAGCAAGTGGCTACGGAACCCCCACCCACAAGGACCTAAGAATTTGTTACAGCAACAAATGTATATATAGCTGTTACCAATTCTGAGGTCTCTGTGTACCCACCTTGGATACTTTTCTGGCCCTCTACCAGCACAAGCTAGGAGAAGAAGGAAGAATACAATATTATATAAATGACATGCCCATTGGTCTCTCCTCCTCGGTCAGATTGTTTGCCGACGATACAATTTTACAAGTGTATACAATACTGCCACCTTCAGTGAGGATGCCACAACACTGCAGAGGGATTTAGATAAGCTTGCAGTTTGGTGAAAAAGGTGGAAAATGGAATACCACCCCCGAAAATGTGACATTATATGATCCATCACGAAAAATAATATTTCAGTCAAATATAACTATTTCTTCGTGGTCATTGTCTAGAGCTAACCCGAGTTTCCTCTGGCCCTGACACCAGCCCTTTAGACATTTTGACAGATGTCTGGTGTGGGAGTGCGCTCTGGCCCCACACCAGACATCTATCTGTCAAAATGCCTTAAGGTCTGGTGTCAGGGCCAGAGGAAACCCGGGCTATGTCTAGAGCATACTGATAAAGCAAAAAAAAAAAAATGGGCGTGACATTGACAAAAGGATCTGAAATGGGATTCTCACATTACTGATATAACTAGTAAAGCTAACAAGACCACTGGCTTCATTCGTCGAAACCTCAAAATTAACTCTAAATCCACGAAGAAAAAAGCATACAAAACATTTAAATATCTTGTGCGTCCGACTTTGGAATATGCTTGTACCGTGTTGGACCCATATCAAAAAGGTGACATACTTAAATTGGACATGGTTGGCGTAAGGCTGCTCGGCTTGTCATTAACAGATACCATAGCACATCCAGTGTTATACTTCTAATCCTGTAGCCATCACAAAAGAAAAATACCTGACACAACATTTGCGACAGACACGACACACTCACTCGTTATCCTATCACATTCCGCATTTTAATACATACTGCCACACATACTTTTTTATTCTCAGAATTGTCAAAGACTGGAACAACGTCCCACCAGATCTAGACCTGTTCTCATCTGAAACTTTGGAAACCTTTAAATGTCGTCTCTCCTAGCTCCTGTTCCAGGGATGTGTAGTGCACATCCCTGCCTGTTCCCACTCTCTTTTCCTGTATGACCTTTAATATGATGGAGTGGATCCATTACCGGGTAGAAAAAGAAGAAGAAGAAAAGAGTTTACTGGACTGATAATTAGAAATACCACGCAGCATATTTTAAATTAAATGCTTCTACATTTATAGCTCCATTTTTTAAACCCCATAGTGGCGCGAAAAGCCGCCGGGGTTTGATCTGTAAACACATTGTCCACTTCCGGTGCTTCCCCATGCGTGAAAGCCTTCTGGGAAAATAAGGCCGCATACTGTCTACAAAAATATGATAGTAAACCATACGGTAACTGTATTTATTACCGTTTACAAGTGAAATATCACGCATTCTTCATTTGATAGAAACATATCATAATGCAGTGAAGATGTTCACATATGTGAAGACGTCACTCTTAGTATATAGTCCAATATAAACGGTACATTCTATTCTCTGCTTAGATTTTCAGTTTCAATTTTAGACGAAGCGAAGGCTGAATAGGTGGTTGTGTGTTCTACCTATACAGGATACATTTTTTTTTCATAACTACGCTATTAATATCACGCATTTTTGTCTGGAATAGCACCGAACGGCAAAATTGCAGTAAAACCCCTCCAAAATGTCGCTCTGTATTGTTGTCAAGCGTGACGTCATAAGAACTTTCATAAACACAGACTTGGTTTTCCCGTTCAATACGAATTTATTATTTCACTTGTACAAAACGAATAAAACGAATATGGGATAACAACCAAAATACCAGCGTTGTGGCAAAATGAGTCTTCAATCAGTCTTGAGAAGTAATAACTATTATTCGAGGAGGGCGGCTGTGCCGATTGACGCTTTTACCCAGTGGACGGTTTATATTTTAATCAGATGGACATCATCAAAATATATGTAACAATCACTGCTTTTCTTTCTCATAAGATGACGTTTTTACCTCATCGAATGTTGACATTTAAACGTGCTTTTAAAAATGTACATTTGCGCACTGTGGGACAATTTTTGAGTGGCAATAGTGGTAAATGTAAGGATATTGAGCGAGAACAGAATATTCTGAACGACAAAATAAATGCCAATTACAATTTATAATAATATTAAGATTATAATTCAAGAAATTCTAGTATACAGAATCCGTTCCCTCGAGGTTGTTGGACTGACAGTTAGGCATTTTCATAAAAAAAATAGTTGACCGGCAGCTTTGCTGCATTTTCTTGTTTTAGTTAAAATTGACATCATTGCCACTATTATAAATCACACTATATTAGTGTATTTCCGGTCTACACTTTGCTATAATAGCATGTACATTACACTGTCATAGTGATTTAACCGCCAGCTAGTAGATGTAATACTTGGGTAACATACTAGTATTCATTATTTACCACCAGATAACTATTTCACTTCCAATGCTACCTGTCTGTGATTACACACGCTACCTGTCTGTGATTACACTTGCTACCTGTCTGTGATTACACAAGCTACCTGTCTGTGATTACGCACGCTACCTGTCTGTGATTACACAAGCTACCTGTCTGTGATAACACATGCTACCTGTCTGTGATTACACATGCTACTTGTCTGTGATTACACACGCTACCCTTCTGTGATTACACACGCTACCTGTCCGTGATTACACATGCTACCTGTCTATGATTACACACGCTACCTGTCTGTGATAACATACGCTACCTGTCTGTGATTACACACGCTACCTGTCTGTGATTACACACGCTACCTGTCTGTGATTACACACGCTACCTGTCTGTGATTACACACGCTACCTGTCTGTGATAACACACGCTACCTGTCTGTGATAACACATGAAATGAAAATGAGTGTAAGATCATTTCTATCAAATAAACACGACGTGTGGCATTTATTCGTGTAAA